ATCTATCTCCAAGTCTCCATCTATCTATCTCACCCAATCACACGCGCGCGCGCACACACTAAACCTACAGTTGTACTCCCTCCGTTCCTAAATAGTTGTCTTTCTAGACATTTCAAATGACTACTACATACGGATGTATGTAGACATATTTTAGAGTGTAGATTCACTCATTTTGCTTCGTATGTAGTCACTTGTTGAAATGCCTAGAAAAACAAGTATTTAGGAACGGAGGGAGTATTAGTTTATCTTGACGATGTCATCGATACGTGCAAGGCCACATGAGCACGATACTATCCTCCAAATTGTCAGTGTCGACATGGGGTCATAGTCATAGACTCATAGTTATACATAGTTTCTTTAAATAGATGAGGTTTTTTAGGCGGACGCGGCAATCAGCGGGATGATTTGAGAACATTATCCGCCTCGCTAGCCGTCCATCTAATACCTAGCCAGCCGTTTGATTTGATATATTACGTGGGGTCGTGGCAGGTGACGCGTCACGTGGGCGCACACACGTATATCTTCAGCACATGAATCGGAAAGCAGAAAATGCAATGCAAGGGTCACGCTACTTGATCTTTCCCATGTGTCGTCGTTGTACCCTATGGCTTGTTGTATCTCCGTCAAGCACTTTTCGAGGTTACGGCTATGTGCCAACTTTGTTGCTGAGTAGCTCAGCTCCATTTTGAAAAGAGATGAGAATCAATGGAAAAAATGGTGTAGATTTGTAATGAAATCTACCGGCGACTGCAACCAAAAGTACGCAAATACACAACATTAAAAAAAATTGATATTCTGGAAGAAAAGAATGGTGCAAAACTACACAAAAATCATTTAAAACATGGCCGGTCCACCACCAGGTTTGACCTGTGGGGGCCTACCTGCAGTGACGACGCGCCTGCCTCCTGCGAGCTCTGCCGCGGCAATGGGCCACCGCCATCCGCCGGCGTGCTCTGCTCGTGCTGCCTCGCCGGCGCCACCGATGTAGATGACCTCTGCACCGAGCCTGCCAGTCCACCCGACGGCGGTGCCGCAGGAGCGCGCGCCCCACCATTGCCGGGGCACGGACCATCCCCACCGCCGCGGCCATCCATATCCTTGTCAGAATCCGGCGGCG